ATCAGTACTTGTTTGAGCATTAATTTGACCAGTTTCAGTAGCCATGAATTCTAAATTATAAAATAAAATTATAATTAGAATTTTATACTACACAGAAAATTTAAACCAAAACCATAGAATTAAATTCTGTAAAAATAAAAGAAACAAAAATTGTAACTTTTATTTTCAATTAATTTGAAAATAAAATAAAATTTTATTCCACAGAGAAAATTAAATTTTTGTAACACTTCAATAATTAAAATACTGAAACGAAATTTTAATTAATGAACACTCAATAATTATTTCTGTAGACCAAAATTAATTTCTGACAAACTTCACAAATAAATATTCTGAATTGTTAATAACACCAGTATATTACTGCTAGTTGTCAAAGAAAATAGATAATATATTACTACTATCTGTCAAACAGTATATTACTACTATTTATTTTTCCAACCAGAATATTATTTTGTAAAACCACAGATAATAATTTCTGTAAGAAGAAGAAAGAGAAAAGGAAACAAACAAAAAATTCTGTATAAACAGAATAATTTGAATCTGTCTTAAGATTATTGGAACAATCTTCTGTGTAAAATAAATAACTTGAAACATATCAAATAAATAAAAATAAATTACTTACAGAATTTTATTTTACCGAAATGAATAAATATTTAAAAGATCAAGTCGAGTGTATGACAATTTGTCCTTAAGACAGATTCGCCCCGCTACGGTGCTTACGGATGAAAGACGTCTATCTCCCAAAATACAATAATCTTCACAAATTATAGTAGCACTCCAAACAATTTGTACTTCGAACCAAACACGTGTTCTATACTCTTTTAATTTTTTCCTAAAAACTAATATGAAGAGAATTTAAGCAAAGGATCAAAACAGGGAGGGAACCACGAAAATTTTAGATTTTTCTGGATGTTTGTGATTGTGAAAAACCTGCTGGAAAGTCTTCTATTTATAGGACAAATGGTGACTGTTCAGATCTATCCGAACAAATATGAAAGAAATGAGCAAGTGCAGTTCAAAATTTGAACAAATACAAATTGTTTTAAACAGATAACTGCTGCAGTTTTAAATCTGTGTAACTACTGGCAGTTTAAAGCAGTTAATCTGTTGGAAATTTCAGACTGGAGGAGGCACACATTTGGACAGAAAATTTGAATTCAAATTTGGCACAAAATTTAAATTAATTTCACTCAGAAAAATTAATTTTCCTGCAAGAATTTTTTTTTGGAAAAATTCAAAATAAATTTTATCCAAAAATTAAAGTTAGAACTCACCTGACCCACACTCACACCCGGCACGGCTTGGCCGACCGACTGGCGGCGGGGCGCGTGTGGTGGTTTGAGCCAATGTTCACTTTGTTCATAACTCCTCCCTTCTACAAACTTGGGGTGCCCCTTAGAGCCCAACCCAAGTGTTGACACGTAAAACTTATATACACACATAAGTTCTCTTAAATTTCTAATGTGGGACAAACCTTATAAGGAAACTCACATTTAATTCTTTAATTGTCCATTCCACGAACCCAAAAACGATGTCAACTTACCATTCATTCATGAAGGGTTTTGACGAGCCATCTTCACCATGTGACACTACAAGAAAAAACACCTTTGGCGACTAAATTTTTAGTCGCCAAAGGTCCTATTTTAGTCGCCAAATGTCAAAATTTCACTTTTCCCGACTAAAAAGTTTAGTCGCCCGTGTTGTCGCCAATAAATGGTCGCGAATGCCTTTGGCGACTAAAACACTGTTAGTCGCCAATATATATGTCTTCAGCGACTAAATATTTCGTCGCCAATAGTCAATTTCTTTATTGGAAATTATACCTTTGCCGACTAAACTGTTAGTCGCCAATAGTTCATTTTTATTTTATTATTTATACCTTTGGCGACCATTCACTTTAGTCGCTGAAAGTATTTTCAGAAAAAAAATTTTTTTGCCTCCGCTGCTCCCAACAGGTTTCGAACTTGCGACGTCCCTTTGCACACGCCAAACCCTTTGCACAACACTCCCTCCACTATGCCAGTACATCATCACATGATCATATATGCAATATATATTATTTATATACTATATTAACCGCAATTAATACAAAATAATATTTATAAATATAATTTTTTTAATTCAATATAATTTTTGTCAAAAAATAAAATTTAAAAAAAAAAATTAGGCGACTTTTGGCGACTAAAACCATTTTTTAGTCGCTAATTGTATTATTTTGGGCTACTAATTATTTATTTGTCGCTAAAAAAACAAGTTCTCAATTAAAAATCAGCACTTTTGGCGACTAAACAGAAAATTCGTCGCCAAAACCCCTACTTTGGGCGACTAAAATGGATTTTCGTCGGCAAAACCCCCACTTTCAGCGACTAAATTGTTTTTAGTAGGCAAAACTGCTATAATCAGCGACTAAACCTGTTTTTAGTCGCCAAAACCATACCTTTTCGCTACTAAATTATTTTAGTCGCTAAAAACCGTGACTTTTGGCTACTAAACAAACTTTAGTCGCTGAAAACCCTATATTAGGCGACAAAACTTCCTTTTAGTCGCTAAAAACATGCTGTTCGGCGACTAAACCCTTTTAGTCGCTAAAAACCTGCTTTTCGGCGACAATTTCCAATTTAGTCGCCATTTCATGCACTTTCAGCGACGAAATTTCATGTTTTGGTCGCCATTTCTGTTTTTTGTTGTAGTGTTCTAACCCTTCCTGGTAAGCTTAATCGGTTTAGATTTGATTGATTCACTAGTTTAATTGTGATTTTTAGTTGTTTTAGCAAAATACTAACGAATGACATGTGCCTAAAGACACTTCCAATGAAATAAAATTTTAAACTATTCATAAGAAAGTAAAGTGTTTGGATAACATCAAGCCATACCAATGCTAACAAAAAGAAAATAATAATAATAAAATAAAATCAATACAAAATTCAAACATGCACTTGAATTCGACAGATGGTGTGTCCCTAATTGAATTTAATAAATCAACTCAAGTTTCAATTTACATTATATTTGCGTATTCTATAGTTAACGGTGACATTAATGCTAATGATGGCTAGAAGTTAGAGGATGGTGAATTTACTGCACACTACATGTGTTCGGATAACATCAATAGGAAGAATGGGAGTTTTACAATTCTTGATTACAAACAATGAAAAAGAATAATTGCATTTAATAGATGAAAATTGTTTCCAAATAAAGATAGATTAGTTACAAATAGAGCAAGTAGATATGGATAGATATTAAATTTTCTTATTTTATAGATATCTATATAATAAAACAGGATAGTTTTCCAAAATGTTTAGAAGGAAATTAGGGCATTCGATTCAATTGTTTGGTTAGAATAGTGTGGATTGACCTAATTAAAGATTGCATGGCTGAGATTGCTTGATTTGAAATAAACTTTCTGCCCAAACAATTGTTAACTTTTATTTTACACGATCTCACATCGGAAAAAATGGAAAAAGTAAGTTGTTTTACTTATAAGTGACCTTATGCTCCTATTTAATATTGTAGTGTTGACATGTTTCAATTCAACCTAGTTTAAATTTTAATTAATTAATTGTTGTATAAGTTGGTTGGTTTTTTGACCTAGTCAATTAGGCTGAACTATTTTTAGTTTGATTGATTCGCTGGTTTAACTGCGATTTTATCAAATTATATTAGTTAGATTTGTTTTATTTGAAATAAACTTCTTATCTAAACAATTATTAGCTTGGAAAAACTTCATTTTACTCTCCTGGGGTTTGAGTCATGTGCGGTTTATCCCCTTAATGTTTGGAAATGACGAAGTACACCGTTAAATATTTTGTCCAACTTAACAACAATGTAAAATACATGGCAAACATGAGGGGGCTATACGCTCATTTTCAAATTTCAGGAGGGTAAATTACACACGAAATAAAGCATAGAGTGTTAACAAATGATGAAATTATCCATAGTTCACACACTTAAGTTACTTATATGTAGGAGCATTTTACTCTTTTTCATTAAATTATTAATGGGTCTAATGGTGCATTTCAGTCCACAAAAATCACGTGGGGGTTATGTGGTCATTTCCAAATGTTAGGGGGTAAACTGCACATGACCTAAACTACAGGGGATAAAGTGAAGTTTGCCCTATTAGCTTTTGTATTAGAACTAGAAAATGAGTTGTTTCACTTATATAACGTGAACCTTATACTCATGTTTAATATTGTAGTGTTGCTCATATTTTAGTTCAATTCAATTTAAATTTTAAAAGTTTTATTTAATTAATTTAGGTCAGAAGTTAAAAACTAAATTTAGGTTAAAAGACATAAATTTGATAAAACCCCTATATTTGATCAAAGTTACAAAATACATTTGGTAAACCAAATTTAGGTCAAAAGATCTAAATTTGGGTTGTGAGTGCCTTTAGCCACAGATCATTCGCTAGTAATTAAATAATTGTACGTATTGAGGTCTATGATGAATATTACAAAAGGGTTAAAGGTTTAAAAATGATAGAGATTTGCTATTTGTTTATTTATTTTTTTTAAAGTTTGCACCTATGGTAACAAAGAAATAGAATAAATGACTCAATCATACTTGTTTTATCTTCTCCTCTCCCATTTCTTTTCTCATGTTTAGTTTCTCATATTCTCTAATAAATTTAAGAGTTTTCTTCACCTTTAAGAAATAGAATAAATGACCATTGCAAAACATTCATGTTTATGTGCATTTCAGTGGAAACATTAGAATTCCGATATTCCACTATTGTTTCATTTATGTTTAACTCTTGTGATGGAAAAGAAACAAAATTTTGTTTCTTGCAAATGACAAATTTGAAATTAAATTTTCTTTGGTACCGTCACATGCTTTACGAAAATGAGATGTTATCCTCTCTTATGGTTGCTTCCATAAAACATATTTTGTGTCAAGGTTTGAAACTCCTCTATATGCCTAAATTAGATTTTGAGAAAATTAGAAGGGTGATAAAACTTGTATGGATAAAAATACCAATTAAGAGCATTAGCTACTAAATTATGCACTGAACACATTTGAACTGCAGGATATGGGGAAGGTCCCTGCAATACATCTTTACCGCCTTCATTCTTGCTGTGATGATTACAGGTCTTTACTATTTTGACCACAGTGTTGCTTTGCAAATGGCACAACGAAAGGAATTCAATCTCAAGAAGCCATCTGCTTACCACTATGACATCTTATTGCTTGGAATTATGGTATATTAGTTGATTTTGTGTCTTTTTGTCTTCCATTCAAGATTTTGTATCCTTGTAGACATTGACTGAGGCTATTCTTATCATTGAAACCACAACTCAGACATTGCTTTGTGGATTAATTGGACTCCCTCCTTCAAATGGCGTACTTCCGCAGTCTCCCATGCATACAAAGAGCATTCCTGTTCTCAAAAGGCAGGTTAGGTTGAGGGAAAAAAAGGAACTTTATTATTTTTTCTGGAAATTTATTTGTGTAGAATCTTAAAGAATTCGACACAATTGCAGTTGATCAGAAAGAAGATTGTAAAGAGTGCCAAGGAATGCATAAAGCAACAAAGTAGCAATTCTGAAATTTATGGCAGAATGCAAGCAATGTTCATAGAAATGGACACAACTACAAATGTACACAAAATATGTAACTAAAAAATAGAAATTAAAAAATTGTTCAAAAATTTGCTTCAATTTCCCTCATTGGAACTTTCTTAGTATTTGGGTTTCTGATGTAGCATGCATTAGAAAAGGAACTGAAGAACTTGAAGGACGCAATCATGAAAAGTGAAGATGGAGGAAGCAAAAATGGTAAACTTGATATGGAAAAGCACATCGATGCTCACTTGCCTATTCGGGTTAATGAGCAAAGAGTGAGCAATCTTTTACAATCACTTCTTGTTGGAGTATCACTACTTGCCATGCCCGCAATCAAGATGATTCCTACATCAATTTTTTGGGGATATTTTGCCTACATGTCTCTTGATAGCCTCCCCGGAAACCAGTTCTGCAAAAGAATTTTACTGCTTTTTATTACACCTCAAAGGCGGTACAAGTAAGTTATTATTCAAGTTCTTATAGGTTTAGTTATTCATTGAGTTTGGTAGTTTGAGAAACCAATCACTTCTTTGATGCTGAATTTATATTTGGAGGAGTCTTGGAAGGAGATCATGCTTCATTTGTCGAGTTGGTGCCTTTTAGCTATATTGTTATGTTCATGCTGTTCCAGATTGCATATCTTCTATTATGTTTTGGCATTACGTGGATACCAATAGCTGGGATTTTGTTTCCCATGCCATTTTTTCTACTCATAATCATTAGGCAGCATCTTCTTCCGAAACTGTTTCACCTACAGTATCTTCAAGACCTGGATGCTGCTGAGTATGAGGAAATAGCTAGTAATCGAAATCGTAGTCAAAGCATGTCATTCAAGGTAAATTATCTCTAAATCAATTGTTATGCCAGAAATAATTCTTGTTGCATGTTTATTCATAAGTTGAGTGATTCTATTAATGATAACCAATTGGGTATATGTGAAAATCAGATGTGAATGATATAATTACACTTGGTTTTCCTAAGCACGTAAAATTCAGTATTTATTTCCAACACATATAAAATGAGTATATATTACATCTATTCTCTATTTTTTTTCATTCTTTTTTTTATGCATCTTGCTCAAAGGCTCAATTCTTTTGCCAAATCAATGGAATTGTATCATTAGTCATGCGGTTCAAACCATTTGAGGAGTTATATGTTGACCTTCAAGTTATGAAACAATGTGAGCGTCAGTTTAGTTTTACTACTTAATTAACAATGTTTGATATGTGCAGAATGGGGACAAGGCTCTTACAGGGAATGAAAAACATGAATTTGAAAGCAGTGATGTAGAGATATTGGATGAGTTGACCACCAGCAAAGGAGAGTTGAAGTTCAGATCTATAAGCTTCAGTGATGAATGTCTCTCACAGGCAAGACTCTTAACTAAAGCCACAACTCTATGCTTAGCAGTAACACATATGTGATATATGTGCATGCACTCATGTGAGCATGCACCAACCCATAATATGGAACATGCAAGTGGCACTAGTACAAACCCCATTACCAAAATCCTGTCACTAAATATTTTAAACACCACTAAGGTGCGTAAGTAAATTGATTAACCCAGAGAAAACACAACATTTCTGTACAAAGTAAGGGTAAAAAAGAAGGTAAAAAGAATAACAGAAGAATAAATAAATAAAATAGCATTCCCATATTAGTCCCCACGGGATGGGGGTCTACGACGGGTAGAAAAAAGAATAAAAGTAGGACACCCAATAGTATGCGTTCAAGACAATTCAAAATGGTGCTAATCCGGACAGCCAAACTTCATCATTAACTTACTGCAACAATAGTGGTTGATTCCAAAAAACTACTACCTCTTGTAACAAAAGAACAGGAACAATTGGGAGTCTGAAGTATGAAGTCAATCAAATTCAAAGCAAGCAATTCAATATCAAGTAGTAGTAATGTATAAGGGTTCATTTCTTATTAAGAACCATGCACATTCTCTTTCAGGATTTGGTAAATCTAGTTGACACATACTTTTCCTGTTGTGAGTTCACCTTTTATTTTTAGCTATTTGAATGATATTTTTTTTTTTTTTTGGTGTGTGATTACAGCAAAAATACAGATCCTATCTCCTACATTTTTTTTAGCATTAAAATTGTCTCTTGTATTATAATTTACATTGCATAAGTAAATGCAGTGACAATTAGATAAATATTATGTCAATGCAGGTTCATCCAGAGGATGATGTCCCACAATCTGAGTGAGAGATTGGGCATAGTGGAATGCCAAGATCAAGATTCCCGTGCTTACCTCATATTGAAAAAAAAAAATTATTCAAATTCTTGCTCTTACTTACTTGTTAACTCTCCTGCATGCAGTTACAAGTGATTGAATATAACTCTTATAGAAAGATTTGTCAATATCAAAATGTTAAGATTTTGGTCTATGTTATAGATTTTTTGGGGTGATGAGCCAAAAATACTATAGCATTTTAATCATTTTGACCAGTTATAAAACATCAAGCTAGCTTAAGATATCAAAAATGCTTGACTTTTGTCTTGAAACACTAGGGTCCAGCAAATTCCAACTTATTGTCAAAATACCATTTTAAGAATGTTAATTTTGTTGGAAAAAATGGTTTTATGGTGACTTTAATGTGAAATTAAAGTATGTCTCAACCACCGGCTGAGGTGGTATCAAATAGGTTTAGATTCTTTGTAACAAAATTTTTATACCACAAAAAGAATGACCAAAAACCATTAAGAATTGAATGAGAAATTGTCTCACAAAGTTGGCCTCATGAATAAGGTATTAGGAATAGTGCATAACGACTTATCACACTGTGATTGTAGAGGAAAGTATTGATAGGTATTTAAATTTTAAGTTTTGGATACGGGCATGAGCCCTTTGGGGCATTCAAATTTTTTGAAGAAAGGGAGTTATGGATGCTTCAAATGGGCTTGAGCCAAAACTATAATCCAAATTGATTATGCAAAAATTGCCACACACGCACACACCACTTGCTCATCGAGGCCAGATCTGTGATCCGTCAATCATGGGGCTTGGGCTTGAGGCTTGCTGGAATGGGTTTGGGTTGGGCCGGATTGGTGACCCATCAACATAATCATTTTGCGTTGTTGATCTTAGGCCTTGGGCTTAGGTTTGGGCTGGGCCGGATTGGTGGCTCATCGGTCTAATCATTTTTTTTTGGATTAGGTCTGTTTGGTGGCTGAAAATAATAGACACGTGTATATAGAGTGTGTAACTTGCACATTTATGTCCCATCAACTTTGGTGCATTTAGTTTTGCAAGAGGAATTCGCTGCATTTCTTGCCAACTTTCATGTCTGAGAGGCTCCTCTTCTCTCCCCCATTGTGTATTAGTTTCAACACATATGTTCTTTACTCTCATATTATAGTCAGTCTACTCCTATAATATTATTCTTCTTATGTGTGAGCGTGCTGCTGTTATTAGTTCATCGGAACTAAACAAAATGTGCTTCTATGTTAGTGGATAATAGCCATCGTATCAATTTAGTTAACTATGAATCTATTTATTTTATTTAAATACACAATTTGTACAACAATCTTAAAACAAATTATATGTTTCCTATGAAATTAGATGAATAGATTCATATATAATTTCAATTAGTTTTATTTTCCCACAGAGTTCTTTGCCTGGCATTTGTTGATAAAAATAATATTACATCATCACCACTGATATGTTTATTTTCTGGGAAAAAAAAATACAAAACCAAACGAATAGAATTTGGGTCTGTAAAAAAAAAAATTTGGACTACTAACCTTTTTATTGAACATAAATACCTAAGCGTGGAAAGGAATTTTTGGACCAAAAGAATCCTAGTTTGGATTGGTTAATTTCTTTATATTTGAAGCAATTTGTTGCTTGCATTTTAGTAGTGGTTAATTTACCAATATGTTGAAGCACGTTTGTTTGCTTGTAATTTTTTGGAAGCATTTTATTTGCTTGCAATTGTTGTGGCAGTTTTTAATTGCTTGTAATTTAGGTAGCAATTTTTAATTGCTTGTAAATTTTGGAACTTGGTTTGGTTTAACCTAATTTATCCCCTGAATAACTTAATTCTAAATTTGTTTCCCATGGACTAGGAGTCAATGTGCTCTTGAAAGTTTTGTTTAAGGTTAATTGGGTCTTAAGTGGGACCGGTGTGACCCCTCCAGTCTTCTTGGAAACTTTCTTGACCATGTTCGATTTTCGGGTAAGTGGTAAGACTAGTTTTGAATTAAATTTCCAACTTTGGGATTTTCTAATGTTAAGTTTAGTTTTTGAAAACACAGAATAGTGAAATTCTGTTGTATTTTTTAGAAATGGCAACTGTAATTGATGTTGTTGCTGCTGCTGCGAATGTTGGTGGAGATCAGAACATGAGGTCAACTGACTTGCCGACCCATACTGTGATCTCTATGGTCAACCCTATTGTTGTGACCTCTGTTGTCAATCCTGTTGTTACTCCTGCTATTTTGGGAGGTTCGCTTAACCATCATGAGTGCCCAGAGAAGTTCACTGGAGTGAATTTCAAGAGATGGCAGCAAAAGATGTTGTTCTACTTGATAACTCTTAGCCTTACGAGGTTTTTGAGTGAGGGTCCATCAGCCATGGAAGAGAATGAGCAAGACAAGCAAAAACTCATGGCTCTTAAATGCTTGGAAGTAGTCGGACTTCCTTTGCCAGAATTATGTTCTAAATGGCTTAGCAGATACATTGTTCAACGTGTTTTATGCTAAGAAATCGACAAAGGAGCTGTGGGATGCTTTAGACAAGAAGTACAAGACCGAGGATGCTAGGGCAAAGAAATTTGTTGTTGGTCGGTTTTTGGATTTCAAAATTGTGGATTCTAAAACCATTATTAGCTAAGTCTAAGAGTTCCAAGTTATTCTACATGAGATTCATGTAGAGGGAATGTTACTAAGTGAATCATTCTAGACAACTGCTTTGATTTAGAAACTGCTTAACGGCTGGAAGATTTCAAGCATTATTTGAAGCACAAACAAAAGGAGATGACAGTCAAAAAGCTTGTTGTTAGGCTCCGCATTGAGGAAGACAACAAGAAGAAATGGGGGAGTACCACCACTGTGAAAGCAAACATGGTTGAGCATAGCCAGTCCTCTGGGTTAAGAAGTAGCCACCAACTAGCAAATGCTCAAAGTTACGGGCTAGAGGTGGTGTCTCCAAGAGGCTGGTCTACATACCTCAAGAACCTACTTTTAGGTTCAATGGAAAGCGCTTCAATTGTGGAAGCGATGGGCATTGGGTGATTGATTGCAGCAAGAAAAAGACGCCTTGCAAGAAAAACCCTCCACAGAACAAAAGCTAGGTCCACATGGCTGAAATGGAGGATCTGTCTCAAAATGGGGATGACATGCATCTATCTGCTATCATCTCAAAATGTGGGATCTAACCTGAAGGAATGGTGGGTGGACACTGGGGCCACTCGCCACATTTGTGTTGAGAAGAAGATGTTTACAACTTTTGAACTGGTTTTAAATGGTGAGAAGTTGTTCATGGGAAATTTTGTGACATCAACTGTTGAGGGGAAAGGCAAGGTGGTCCTAAAGATGACTTCAAAAAAAGAGCTAACTCTGAACAATGTCCTATATGTACCGAACATTCGTAAGAACCTTGTCTTAGGGTCTTTCTTAAGTAAGCATGGCTTTCGCATGGTGTTTGAGTTTGATAAGGTCGTGTTGAGCAAGAGCGGAGTCTATGTGGGAAAGGACTATATGTCGGGCGGTATGTTTAAGCTCAACATAATAACTAATCTCCCTAAGATGAATGAGAAAACTTCTTCTTCTGCTTATATCCTTGAGTCCCTGAATTGTGGCATGGTAGACTAGGTCATGTGAATTTTGACTCTTTGCGTAGATTAATCAAGTTAGATCATATGCCATCTTTGAAGATTAATCCAAATCACAAATGTGAAACTTGTGTAGAAGCAAAATTCACAAGAGCTTCCTTTCATTCTATTGAAACAAGTACTGAGCCTTTAGATTTAGTGCATAGTGATGTGTGTGACTTGAAAGTCATATAATCATGTGGTGGCAACAAGTACTTTATCACTTTTGTTGATGATTGCACTAAATATTTTTATGTGTATTTGCTTAAAAACAAAGATGAGGGGATTGATAATTTATTCCTTTTAAAAATGAAGTTGAGAATCAACTAAGCCAAAAGATCAAGACTTTAAGAAGTGATTGTGGTGGAGAATATGAATCGCCATTAATTGAGATTTTTGCTCAATCTAAAATTATCCACCAAACTACAATGCCTTATTCCTCTCAATCAAATGGTGTTACTAAGAGAAAAAAAAGGATGTTAAAGGAAATGGTGAATGCAATGTTAATAAGTTCTTGGTTGCCACAGAAGAAAAAGTGGAC